CGATCTGGGCCCAATCCACCAGGCTCGAAGCCAGGTTAGAGGGAGACCCAGCCGCTAAATCTGAGTCCGCACCACCGGGGGAGGATTCTGGTTTGGCTGTTTCGCGGTTCGCTCGATTTTGCAAACCCAGAACGCCGGTCGCCGGGACCAGCGGGTGGTGCAGCCAGAAGAATAAATGGAGCGGAAACACGAACGTGGCGGATTGATCTCCCTTTAAAAAGCAGCGTTCTGTTTGGCGATCTGCAGCAAAACGATGCGAATTTCCACAGCAATTGCCCTCTCTTTGGAAAAACAAAAGCCCCCGGCGATATTTTGGAAAGGGAACCCGTGAAAACTTTCTGCCACAATTAAGGGCAGTTTTCCTGCTCGTTACCCCTCACATGATAATATCAACAACAACAATAATATCATCTCACTTTGAGCAAGGGTGATGGGTGCTAACGCTTACTCTTAAGTAGACCAGAGTGCGTACTTACACTAACTGGTGTGGGTGTGTAAAATTGCCCTTTACGTGAGTCCTTCCACTATCCTAGAGTTACTTTAGTGTCAGTCATGGGTGTGACCAAATTCAACCAAGTGTGGTTTGTTTAAGAAACATGGTTAAGCATATGATGGCTTACTACCATCCCTGAGCATCTTCAACGCGTGCAGCCATCTCCCACTCCCCTTTTAACCGGAACATAAATGCTTATAAAGGTTTTCCTCGGAGGCTTTTCCAGCTGTGCACCCAGCTTTTACATCTGGCTGCCGTTTCACTCCCACCTACTTTGCTTTCGATGGAAAAGTTTGGGGTCCTAAAAACAAAAGCCGAAGCTTTCCCAATCTCCGGACACGTTTTTTTCCCTAAAAAATTGAAAGCGTCTTCTCACCCAAAACCTTTCCTTTCCCTGATTTTTCTACTTTTGACACGGGTGGAAACTAGCAGCAATACAGTTTTCTTTGTCGATGGTTGAAGTCAAGTCGCTCTGCAAAGCCCTCACTCCGGCTTAAAACTCCAGATTTTCCTAACTGCCTCGCTTGCTTAATTTTTTTAAAAATGAGGCTTACAACCATACCATCGGCGCGTGATTAAAACAAATTTAAAAACTGCTCCAGAGCCAAACTTTCTTGCTATATTTTCGAACGAGACTTGGGGACCCTTTATTCTTCCTGCGTTACATCCCTCCCGTTTTCTAACCCTGTAAAAAGTCCTCCCTTTTGAGATATTAAGCCTCTCCCCACCCCAGAGGAATCAGACGGAATTTGCTCAAATGGGTTAGGGCAAATTCGTTCCCATTTTCTCAGCTCGGCTTCTTTTCCCCCAAGTCCGGTCTAGATCCAACCCACCTATTATACGGGGCGAAACAGGCTGCATAATAAAGGGGGGCTGTTGTTCCCCTGCCCCTTTTAAGTTGCTCCCTGCGAACAAAGTAGATTCCAGACCTCGCCGGGCTGTTTAATCAAGAATCACGCGCCGCTAATTCGAAGTCACTCGGATTGATATATCATTAGCCACAGCTAAGCCTTGAGTGGGCCATTCAGCTTGGAAGGGGCACTAACAGCCGGTGCTGGCGATGTCTGGTCATTATTCCCCATCACGATGTACAAATATTTTGGTAATCCTTTGATCCCCCTTTCCTTTCTCAGACTGGTTTTCCTCCATTTGCTACAGAGAAGAGGCACTCCACGTCAATCCCTACCGCGTGTGTGTTTTCGCAGCCCGTGGGTCCCCTCCTTCCACCACCCTTCCCGGCTCTCTGCGCTCGGCCACTTGAGCACGTTTTAGAGGGACCCGATTTGCTTTAATAAATGCAGAAAGGGACCCCAAGTTTGTTTAATTCTGCAGCGGGGCCTCGGCGGCGGAGCGGCCAAGAAACGGTCTGAAGGGTGGGGGAACAGGGAGGGAAGCACAGAAAAGTCGCATTCTGATTAATTAATTTCCTTTCAAGATCTTGAAAGGCTGGGCGGCTGGAGAGAGTGAAGCAAAGGGAGAAGGTGGCCGAAAACGGCAGAGTTTGGAAAGCCTGTACACGCGGCTGGGGCCACACCGTTCTTGCCTCCTGTTCTTCAGTAATAATAATAATAATTATTATTATTTACTCATAATCATGAAAGAATCCCCCGATTTGGTTCAGAGTAGCAGCAAAACTCTAGTCCCCAAGAACAAGAAGCAGAGACAGAATTTTCTCACTTTCTCCACTCTAAACCTCTTGAAAGTAGAAAGTGGCGGAGCTAATATTTATTAAATGGGCTCTGGGAGGGTGGACGAAGCCCAAAGCTGCTCCCCTGCCCTCTCCCAGAAGCTGGCTGGAAAGACATTTGCCTCCCCCCACGCTGCTTCCCTAAACAAACCCACCGGCCGTCTCCGAAGGAAGCCTCCCCGGGTTTAAAGAGGCTCCTTCCAGAGCCCGCGGCGCTCAGTCCCGCTGGGAATTTCCAAGGACGCGCCAACTTTCTTGCAAGTCGCGCTAGTTTTCTTCCGAAGGAAGGAAGCGAAGGACCCGGCGCCAGCCCCTCCCCAAAGTGGAAACGGGAAAGCCGAATTTTAGAAAAGAAAGGCCCGCTGCGGAGGTGCAAATAGGAAAGGGAACGGCCGTCGCTATCTTGATTATTCCTCCGGTGGACATTCTTATTCTTCCCTGCGCTTCACGGCGACCCACGTACCTTCCAGCGGAAATCCGGTGCGGGGGTAATTCTGCCCGGGCGCTGGGCGCATCATCCTCGGTACAGTCCCGGGGAGAGCAGCCATGCTCCGGTCGAGGCTGCTGGGACGGACGGCTCGGGTGGGGGGGTGCCGCCGGGTGGACGGGATCGAGGAGAGAAAGCAGAGGAGGAGAAGGAAGCGTTGAACTCTTCGCCCAACTCTAGGAGGAGACGGTGGCGGCAGGGGGTGGGGGGAGAGAGACCCTCCCCAAGCCTCTTCCCTCTTGAAAAAGCGCCAGCACGAGCTGCCTGGTTTTCTTAAAGGGGGGGCGCCGAAATTAACCAGCTGGCACTCAGCGCGCGCCCTTGCAGAATGCGCCGGGCAGCCTGAAATGCGTGTGCGCACGCCGGCAAGCTAGGGCTGGGTCTCTTTTGCAGAGGACTCCAAAGGGGGTGCTCTCTCTCCCCCCCCCAGCTTTCCTCACTTTTATTTTGTGCTACTTT